AGTCACCATTTGAAACACCTATAACCGATTTTGTTAATTTGTTTTCAATCCGATGACGTGCATCCCACCTTGGGACTGAAGTGGAACGTTACCGTTGATTGTATCACCTTTTTGACAGCTTTCGAAGGGATTGTGCCAGAAGATCAATTTTGTCTTTCGTTGCGTCCATTTGCGACTCCTTGGGCCTGATTGCTCCCGTGTTACTTCAAGTAAAACAGCTACTACAAAGCTACGTTCGGAAAGGAATGGGGTGGGACACATGTGTCGATGAGAACGAACGCGACTAGTGCTATGGCTTCTTACATGATGCTTTTTTATTAGTACAGTTATCACTTGAGGTTGGTTTGTCTGGCTCCTGGTCACTACGAACTTCGTTTGGACTCGCGGTACACAGCTCGCGCGCCACTGTTGGTGGTCGAGCGTCGTTACGGCGTACAGCTGACACTACTTCTTTTTTGTCTAATTTTCTTCACTCTGAGCTACGCCAAAGTTACTTGGTATTGCGCGGCACTTCAGCAGTTTGCGAAACTCCTAAGGGTGCGCACGTTGTAAGGTTTGGTACACGGCCTTAAGGGCAGCGGAAGCCACCATTGATCGAGGACCAGCAATCATAGTGGTTTAAGTTGATTAGTTTAGCCCACTGCTAGTCCAAGTAAGGCGGAGAACAGGGAAACGCTATGGATGTTTATTTACATGCCTTTCAATTAGACCAGTTCATATTGGAATTACCCTTGCCATGGACACAGGCACGTTTCCTGTGCGCCTTTTCGCGATTCGTTTTACGGTGCGGGGTTCCCTTAAGGATTTACAACGGTAACGGATTAAATTTTCGTCAATCAGAAAACGAGTTGAATGCACTGTTTCAGTCATGGAATCAAAACAAATTATAAACGTTACTAAGCGAGAAAAGTTGCGAATGGATATTCAATCCTCCTTACGGCAGTCACCGTGGAGGTGTTTGAGAAAGTGTAATGCGATCGGTACGAAGGATACTTCGAGTATTACTGTGTGTACAGTCGTTAGTGACTAAGTCCTGTAGAGAACGATTGTTGAGATGGAACGGATCCTCAATCAGCGACTTCAGCCCTAACCCCAGTCATCCCGATGAACTCGGGAACCCAACACCAAGCAAGTGGTCTGTGGCCGAAGGGAATCGGGGAAGAAGCAAGAATGGGGCGCGATAGGCTGGTTGGATAAATTATTGTCCGCACTAACAAAGGAATAATCCAGAGAGATGTGAGACAATTCTGTCTACTGTAATTCTTTGAACAGATGAGGCCGATGATACTGGCAGTGTGAATCCTAACTTCACGACAGTGAACTTTTCTACTGACAATTAATGAGTAGTTTGTTTATTATCAGAATGTACTCGCGAAATTTCATCGGTATTGAGTCCAATTGGAGGGTCAGCTAGGTTTTATAATGACAGCTTTCAGTTAGGTAATTTCTGTTGCTAATTATGTTTAAAATTGTAAACAAGACATTTCGCATCTTTATTACCTTCGTTTTACTGTATCAGAATTTTTGTTGCGCGCTCGCATTAATTACTGACTGAACGCTCTGCGGATTTACTGCTGGCCTGTTACCTGCGAGTCGTTTCACTTATTCGTAACTCTATTGTAGTGTATTGTTAAAAATACGATTTTAGAAATACGATTTAAATTTACTGTTCATTCTGTCTACCGCCCAGACCGTTCGTTTGTCTAGTGACTCGGCCTGCTTTCTGACTTCGCAGTAGTAACACTATTCATAACACTTGTTATTGTCGTGAGTTTACACTATCTATTCTCATACTTAAACGATACCCGGACTAATGGCACTGTGAAGCAATGTGTTGAGTTCGTGGTAGATGGCCTACTAGTTAGATCCGGTGCTGCAGCTGTTGGGGGCATGGGTAGCAATGGCATATAAACTGCTCTAGCGTTGCTAACATTGGTTGATACCAAACGGGCTGCAGACAGACGGCTGCTCAAGTGGATCCGATCAATCAACCAGGTCTCGGTCTTGGACCTCAGAACGAAGCCCACCGCAGTTTGACTTGAGGTTGCTACGTCAGCATTTCTATATGCGCGTAACCAATAGGGAAAAAACAACTTCGGTGCAGTTGGTTCGTAAACCGCGCGAGATTCATTGATCTTAGTTTCAGATACGCCGCACGCATCGGTGCTGCGTATCCAATGTGTGTGCAAGCACAGTCTGTTAAAGAGCACGAGCTTTGTACGCTACCAAAGAAGCAGGGTCTGTTTATGACTTGAGCTCAGTTTCGAAAAACGTCGTCAGCAGTACGCCGTACCGGCGCTTGGTTGCAACACAATCACAACCGGCCGCGCCTGCGCTAAGGATGCTGCGAGGTTGCCCCGTCTTACAGGTACGCCAATCGGAGCGACCGCCAGAGTACGAAGCAACCTTTTAAGGCACGCACTCTGCGAGGCTCGACTTATTCCAAAGCAAATAGTTGCTGTGGATGTTTATTTATACCGCTCTTTCAGAGTCCATATAACAATAGACGTGTTGACAAACCTCTACTTAATTGTCGGTTTTAATCAGGCAATAGCTGTGGGCAAATGTTTCCGCAACTATTCTCTCTGTGGTAATCGGACGTCGAAGTCGAATCAGAATGGAGTCGGTAATTCTTCCCGCGGATTGGAAGACTGTAACTGGCAGTAACAGAATTCCGCCACTATCGCATCACCGTTACACACTACGCATGCTCGGACCGGTGACCTTCGGATTACAGGGCAGGAATGTGATCCTTTCAGCCATCGGCCGACTAGCTCCTGAATGGTAGAACCCAAATATTCATGCAACCCATCAGTTAAGCTGTGGATTAAACTATGAACGTTATAAGTGGCTGTACAGAGAGGATTAAAGGAAACAGGTGAAAAAGAAAGAGCAACACTAGTATCGGGTTTTCGCTTATCCGCCCTGCTGTATGCCGCACATAAGGTTCCTGCATTGAAATTTATGGATGATCGATGCAAGATGGAATTGAAGGTGAGGATAACTTCAATCATTCATGGTTTTATTTTGTGGGATACTGCTAGAGTGCCTTAATTTAGACAGGCAGACGATTTGGGTTTTCAGCCAAAGCCTTTTTCCCAATATGTTGCTGCGTGTAGCGGGAAGATAGCGACGATCCGGTTGTACAGATCTAGATGCCGCACCAATCCCGATGCTTAACTTGTAGATCAGGAGACTGAGTTAATGTTACCATCAACCAATATAGTTAAAACGACTCTCAAGTAGCCCGGGGACACTACCCATCACAGCTTAGTTTATTGAAGAGGTATACACCACATGCGGTCCTTTTGTCTCCGTCGCTGACCATCTTTTTTTCCTTGTGTGGTACATAGACTTGAGCTCTCAATATGTTTCTTCATCATAAGTTTTCACACATGTCCGCCTAGAGGTTGGCAGCAGTCGACGGACGTGTCAGTGTTTCCTTGGAGCACTTGAGGTTGGTTTGTCTGACACCTGGTCACTACGAACTTCGTTTGGACTCGCTTTTGTAGACCATATATATCTCGATCCCTTGGTACTCAACGATTCGCATTATTAAAGGATCATCGTACGGCATTGACGCTTCAAATCGTTTTGGATGCTATGCCGCAACACCTTAAACCTGATTTTTTGCTATTTCATGTTAGCTCATTTCCTTTTCAAGTGTACTTTATATTTTAACACCATAAATTTGTTGTTCATGTGACACGGCTTCTGTTGTACATGGTAAGTCATGCTCGTTCAGGTTCGTGAGTTTGTTACGACGGGAGCTTTTGGGTCTGCATGTCTACAAATGTCTCTTAGTTTACATTTCCGCTTAATTAGTCGCAATAACCTTATTGCTAGCTGTTTAGTTGAATGTAAATTCGAATCAAGCTTATTAACTGTGCATCATCACCCATGTGGATGCGTTGTCAATCCCTCCTACATCGGGGCGGACGCATGTTTTGTCGGCACTTAGTCGACTTTTATGATTGACAAGGTGTGATGCTGGTGAGCACTTCAAAGGCAATGGATAATAGCTCTATAAGTCATGTTGAAACATATCCTACCTGTTTTGGTTGATTACCACGTCATGTTTCCCATTACCACTGCTATGGTGTTTAGATCTAGATAGATCTAACAGCCTTTTTAACCAAGACCCAGCAACTGTGTGGCCTCAAATCAACCAGTACACCATTGGAGATTGTTACATTTTTGTGGATTTAGGATCTGGTTATAAGCGAGTGATCTTGCTTAGAAGACCCAAGGTTATCTTGCAGAGCTTTCAGAATCCAAGGAATACTGTTTTTTTTCAACACCGAGGCGTCCGAGTACTATAAAGTAGATATTTGGTCGACGAAGATATGTTCTCGTGATTGCACTTTGCACCATTGTGTAGTAGGTCCACCGATACGCAACTTTTACCACGACACGGCACCAGCCAATGTCTGTTACAATGGGGTTTGGCGAGTATCTCAATTTTCTTTTTTTTTCTTGTTCGAAGCCCATCGATCTTGAAAAACAATCTGTGTTGGTGTCGCCATAATGGCGGAATTCTGTTACTGCCAGTGACGATCCTCTAGTACGCGGGAATATTTTTCGACTCCCTTCTGATTCGACTTCGACGTCTGATTGCCACGGAGAGAAGAGTTGCAGAGTTTTGCTCACAGCTATTACCTACTTAAAGCCAACAATTAAGTAGAGGTTTGTAAACATGTATATTGTTACATGGGCTCTGAAAGAGCGGCGTAAATAAACATCCACAACAACGATTCGCTTTGGATTAAGTCGAGCCCCGCTGAATACATGCCTAAAACGTTGCGTAGTACTCTAGCGGTCGCTCCCGTTGGCCTGAGACCTGCTGGGAATGCGATATATACTCTGCATCGGTTAGTTTTAGCCACAACCACACGCTTACGACACTGTGATTTGTTCTCTCAAGCTAAGGAAGAAGTAGAAAACAAACTTGCTATTTGAAATCTGTTTCGCATGTTAGCTGTTTTCTTTCTGTTTTTCAGACTCATACAGCCCGATCAACATACGAACCCTTGACGCTGACATTGTTGCCGTCGTAATTGTTGTAACATCTATTTTTTGACCTATGTAAATAAAATTTTGCTTTTCATGCTCGGCTTTCTGTGCTACCACAAGTGAGGTTTGCAGTTACGTGATTGCATACATTTTACACACTTTGTTTTTCAGTGCGACGTTTTACGTACCTCTTTGACCCATTGAGCTAAACTGGGTGGTGCCTGGGGGCATCTTGAGAGCTCCTTCTACCGGGTTGGTCAGTGTTGTGAGGCCAGACAAACTCAGTCTCCTGGTCCTCCAGATCGGGAGTTTGAAATCGGATGGCGTCCATTTCCGTAAAACTTAATCATTGCCACCTCCCCGCTGCCTTTCGGACAGGCTTTAGAGCCAAAAGCTTTGGTTGAGGACCCTAATCGTCCTCCTTTCTAGGTCTGGGCACCCTGGGAGTATCTCAGCCCACATACAAACATGACATTTTCTTCAAACATGAGCTTCGTCCTGCATCCGCCGTCGCGCAGTTTATCAAAGGTCGCCTTATCTGCTGCATACAGCAGGGCGGATAAGCGAAAACATGCTACTGCTGGCGCCTCCCTTCTTTCTTTTCCACCTTTTTCTCTTACTCCTATTACTAACGTAACTATTATAATCCCCAGCTTAATTAACAGCAACCGAAGTGCCACTAAAGTAGAACCGTCTGCAGCCACCATCCCCCAGCACTTATCGGACGCCTATCGGCAAAAGTCCCCTGTCCCGTTTCCATGGCGATGTTCAACGTTCGCACTCTAAGACAAATAGGTCAACAGACTGTGCTCGCACGCAACTTGGACATACTGGGTATTGATGTGTGTTGTGTGTCCAAAACTAGGATCAATGACCCTAATGGGGTTATTGAATTGACTGCACCCGGCTTATCCTCTCGTTATTGGTTACACGCATCCGGAGACCCCGGTGCAGCACTCACGGGTCAAGCTGATCATCATCAACAGCAGTACATCAGCCATTTGAACTGATGCTTCGCTGGCATACAAACATGAGGACCTATGAAATAAAGAATAAGAAGAGGGAGAGAAGGTGAACTTATCAGAAAACCTTAATGCCCTAAGCAAACATTCAGGGTCGAGGCGCCTACACCTTGTGCAGACAACATTCCGTCACAAACAGCTGGCTATCGTGCAAAGATAAGGCGGCATCGGCGAGACAGCTTCCTTGCGACTTTCACTGCCCCGCGTCATAATCAGCCATTACCCCGCAGATAACTCAGCACCAAACACACTTTAAACAGATAATCCGATTAGGAGACGGCAGCAGACGCGCCACTGGTGTCGGTTGCGAGCCATGTCCTGCAAAGTCTCAAGCCAAGCACAAGGTGAGTCACGTGGACTCCAACCCGGAAGGCGAGACGGACCAACGGCACCCAGTTTGGTTGTCATTGACTTCATTTCCCGCTGCCAAGTCAACTTCTGTCCACCTCAAGCCTTGCGCCATCCGACACCTGGTAGACTGAACAAGGCCCTCCTAGGTAAGCGGTGACCAGGCATACGTAGCACGTGCCCGAGCCAACGCAACTTATTCAGTGCTATCTGTTGTTCTAGGGAGCTAGCATGATGATCACCACCTAGTACTCGCCTACGCACATCATCGTTGCGGATACGCTGGTGCCATCCGACACCACCAATGCTTCGCAAACAACGATGATCAAAGAGTTGAAGGCGCCTCAGATCTTCAGACCGAAGGGGCCAAGTTCCAGTACCATAGAGCAGAACGTGCCTCACTATGGCCTTGTATTCACGGCCTTTCAGACGGAGAGAAACTCCCTTCTGTCGCCAAAGATGACGCAGGTTCAAGAAGGCAGCTCTGGCATTTGCAATGCGTGAGCTGACTTCAGTTTCTATGCGCCCATCATTGCTGATGCAGCTGCCAAGATAAGTGAATTGATCAACCACCACGAGTTCCTCGTTAGCAAGCGTCAAGGGGTCATCAAGTGGCTGGTGGTCCTGCAGCAACACTTTGCACTTTGAAGGTGCGAAGCGCATACCAAATAATGGAACCACTCTGGATAGGCTATTCAGGGTTGATTGTGCCCCCGCAAAATCGTCGAAAAGCAAGACGATATCGTCCGCATAATCTAGGTCAACTAACCTTTCACGAGGCAGCACTTCAACGCCTACATCATGAGATTTCGCAGGGGAACACCATGATAGAATCCACGACGAAATTGAACAAAAATGGGGAAATCGGACAACCCTGACGAACGCCACTTGTAGTCGAAAAGCTATCCGATAGGGCACCATAGACCCTGACGCGGCCTGTAGTGTTCGAGTATAGGGCACGAAGGATGTTCACATATTTCGTGGTAACACCTTTTTGCGCAAGTATTCCGAACAGAATCAATCGATCGACTGAATCGAACGCACTCTTGAAATCGAGGAACACAGCTATTGTCGGTCTGCGGTATGCGTGGCGCTGCTCTAGCACCTGCCGCAAAGTAAATATATGGTATATACAACCACGTCCTGGGCGAAAACCAGCCTGCTCTTCCCTAATCCGAGATTCCCGTTCTGCAGTGAGGCGACGAACGATAATCGAGGCCAGTAATTTTGTCACAACTGGTTTTAGGCTAATAACCCTGTGGTTCGCACAGTCTGTGCGACTGCCCTTCTTGTATATTGCCACTATAATCGATTCGCTCCAATTAGCCGGGACGCTCTCTTCGTTCCAGATACGTTCGAATAGGGAGGTCAGTGCTTTGCAGAGGACCTCACCTCCATCCTTAAATAGTGCAGGTGGGAGGGAATCCGGGCCAGCGGCACGAAAACGATTGAGGGCTGTGATCGCGTTTCGGACCTCTGCCTCCGACGGAGGTTCTAAACTAACCGTCCATGGCACGTCCTGCATTACCTGAGTAGGAAGAGGTCCGGGAGCAGGGGGCCGGCTGAACTGATCTTAAAGCTGTTCTGGCCCAACGAGCCATACGGCGCTCCTTATTGTGTATCAGCGCACCCGCGCTGTCCCTGATTGTCTCACTGACGCCTGGTTTTCTGGGACCAGTGGTGCGGGTCAGCTGGAAGAGCTAACGGTAATCGCCTACTGCTCCTGCCTCCTCCATTTCTTGAGCCCTACTGATCCACCAGGCGTCCTTGTCAGCATGTAGGCTCCGCTTTAGTTTACGCCTAATAGCCCGTCTGGTCACATTGTGTTCAGAACCAGCCGGGAGGTGTCTTCTAGCTTCCAACAGGTTCACCGACCTGTCGGATATCCAGTGACTAGTGCGGTGACGACTGATATTGCCACAAGCAGATGCTCCTGTGTCGTGCATGGCGGTCGGTATCCGATTCCACTGAGATTTAGTGTCATTGGGTCAAGACAGCGAGAGTTCGCTATGCACTGCTTCTTGATAGGCTTGCCTGACAGAGGGCTGGGACAATTTCTCCGTTGCCAATCGGAGGAGACGCTTTGTGCGCCTTCCGGTAAAGTTCGTGGAGAAACGACAGCGCACCAAGGCATGATCAGAGTCGACACAGGTACTCCAGTACGAGCGGCAATCCAGAATGGAACCGCGCCACTTGTAACCTATGGCTATGTGGTCAATTTGGGTCCATCGTTGGTCAGCTACAGGTGGACGCCAAGTGGCGCTTCTGCGCCCACTGTGTCTAAAGGCAGTGCTAGTAAGAAACAACTGGTGCTCCGCACACAGTTGCAGCAGACGCTCGCCGTTGTCAGTGCGTTCCGAGTTAAGTCCATAATTACCACCCAGCTGAGTTTCTGAAGAGCTCAGACGCCCTACTTGTACGTTCATATCCCCTGCAAGTACTATAGTATCTGAACTAGTAGCACTTCGTTGCAGCGTGTTCATTTCTTGATAGAAAGTGTCCTTGACTGCATTAGAACGGTAGTTGGTGGGAGCATAAGCAGAAATCACAAGCAAACATCGTTTTGTTTTTGCTTCGCGAATTCACCTTAGCTGATGTCGTCAAACGGACTGCACATAAACGGCTGTTTTACCGGAATCCAATCAACCAACAATGACTCAGCCTTGGAGCTGAGAATGATACCTACACCAGATTGACCCGTGAGTGCCGCATCGGCGTCTCCGGATGCGTGCAACCAATAACGAGAGGATAAGCCGGGTGCAGTCAATTCAATAACCTCGTTATGGTCATTAATCCTAGTTTTGGGCACACAACACACATCAACACCCAGTGTGTCCAAGGTGCGTGCGAGTGCAGCCTGCTGACCCGTTTGTCTTAGAGTGCGGACGTTGAATGTCGCCATGGAAACGGGACAGCATGGCCTTATAAGGGACTTTTGCCGATAGGCGTCCGATAGGTGCTGTGGGATGGTGACTGCAGACAGTACTACTCCCGTAGCACTTCGGTTGCTGTCAATTAAGCTGGGAATTATAGAAGGAAGGTCAGTAATGGGGGCCGGGATGGGAGTAAGAGAAAAAAGTGGAAAAGAAAGAAGGGAGGCGCCAGCAGTAGCATGTTTTCGCTTATCCGCCCTGCTGTATGCAGCAGATAAGAAGACCCTTGATAATCTGCGCGACGGCCGATGCAGGATGAAGTTTATGTTTGAAGAAGATGTCATGGTTGTATGTGGGCTGGGATACTGCCAGGGTGCCGAGACCTAGAAAGGAGGACGATTAGGGTCCTCATCCAAAGCCTTTGGCTCAAAAGCCTGTCCGCAAGGTAGCGGTGTGGCAGTGCTTTACTTTTACAGAAATGGACGCCATCCCCAACCTGGAGGTCCAGGAGACTGAGTTTGTCTGACCTCTCACCATTGAGCAACCTCGTAGGAGTAGCTCTCAAGATGCTCGGAGGCATCACCCAGTATAGCTCAATGGGTCAATGAGGTACGCAAACCGTCGCACCACGTTAAGGTCCAGTCTCGTTGCGGCGGACGGGTCAAGCTAGTGTAGGTATCATTCTCAGCTCCAAAGCTGAGCCATCGTTGGTTGATTGGATTCCGGTGTACAGCCTTTTGTGTGCAGCGCGTTTGACGGCATCAAGTAAGGTCGATTC